TACACGCTTCGCCGGGATTGGATTCGTGAATTTATGTCGCGGCGACAAATTTTATCAGGGTTCGGTGGCAAACACCGCACGCCCACGCGCGCCCGTAAATCACGCCGGGAGGAGCCCCGGGATCCGTGTATCCGGGACACGCCGGTGCTACGTGCGATCTGACCGCGTCCTGCACGTCTTCTGCTCCGCTCGCGATCCCCGGACAACGCCGGCCGGCTGCTTCGCGGAGGAATTTTCGTGCCGGGCACCGTTGATTGCCATCGTCGGCGAGACGACGAGCCACGCCGCCGCGCGGGAATAATGGAAATCCGCCGGGTGCACGGATTTTCTCCGATTTTTACCGTTTATTCGGTACCGTTTCGCGTGAACAGTTGAATCTCGGTTGGGTCCAAGTTAGCGACCGACCGAAGCTTCGAGAAGAGGGCGCAGCGGAATAGTCCACGACTGGGAGAAGCTGTTAAGGTTTACTGAAAATTTCGGTCTACGGGTACTGACAACCGCTACAAGACGCTGCAAGACAGAACGTGACACGAGGAAGAGTCGATAACTCACTGCGCCACTTCCTCTGTCTAGCGAGCTTTCGGATCCCGGCGCTAAATTGGCCACGTTACGCCGACAGGTCTTCGTTGCAATATAATTAGAAGGTAGCCGCGATCGCCGGGTGTAACTCTTTCTGGTAGGCGGACGGCGTTGGACACCGGCCGCCTGATTTACTCGGGCCTTTGTGCGGCAGCGCTCGCTTGGACGGTGTTCCCGGCCGCAAACGACCGGCCTCCTAGACCCCGAAATCGCTAGCTTCTAGATAGATTCTTGCGTTTCGGAGATTGTTTCTACGGAGGCTACTTTGAAGGAGGTTTCGGCTTGCACTGGTAACCGAGCGAGGTTGGACGATCCGGTGAAAATGGAGACTTTAGAGCGAAAGTGGTAAATTATCGTGACATTGGCGTGACGCTGCGAGCCGGATGATGAAGGAGGACTATTTTAGATATTGTATCTTCTCGTGTCACGGGGCTTTGGCTGTGACGGAAGGGAGACTTTTATGTAACCAGCGCGGATGATGTATTGCCCGCCATTTTGGTCCCGGCTTGGAGGAGAGGAATTCTTAGAGGATGGTGCTTAATTAGCTGGGAATTATTAAGGCACAGTGAAATTGAGAATGTAGGAATCGTTGAAAGTTTTCGAGTGCATTCAGGAGAGAATTAGTTACAGGATATGACTCGGGAAAAGGAGGTGGTATGTAGATTGAAGCTACCGCACGCATTTTATACACAATGAATTTATCTAAATGCTAATTGAAATGAATACTATTTCAGCGTTGAACGCGCCGCTCGGCCATCAATTAAATGCCAATGCGATGTGCCGGTTTCGTAGGAATCCTCGGTTAACTGTACTCTTGACAGCAACAATGTTTCCGTGCTATTAATTGTGTAAGATAAGGGGTTCGGTAACACTCCGCGCCTCTTGAACCGTGATCAGTGATACTTTCGTGCTGCTGCTCGAAGTGTAGCCCACTTTACGGTCCAGGGGGCCGTATACGAAATTGGTGAGATTGCAAGTCAATGCTTTCTAATTGCACAGTCCACTAATTGCGTGATGTATTTTTAACGCGTGCTCCGAAACTTATACACATTTTATTACAATATTTTATCCCGTACGGCGTTGTTAATTTCCCCGAGCAACGTCAGCCTCCCGTTACGCGCATTATGTCGGGCAACGATGCTCATCCAGCAATTACAACCGAAAAATAAAACTAAATAGAAGACCGTGAACTATCCTGCACCGGAAGGGTTTGAAAAATATATCCAATTCCTGAAAAAATCTCCATCGCAACGTATCATCGACGCTAATCTCCTTTAGCGGACACTTCGAAATCCTCGGATACAACGAATTCCCCAGAAATGTCAAAAAATACCATCAACCCCCGTCCACATTGCCGATCCTAACTTCGAGACCTTCGAACACCAGAAATTCTCCGACAAATGTCCACCGAAAGATATCGATCCTCACCTATGTTAGCGGTCATAGCTTCAAGATCCTTGGGTTTCCTCTTCCTCGGCCTGCCCTTCTGCCTAGGTGGCGGCACGACTGCGGCGCCATTGAAGTACGGCACTTTCGGCGGCGAGCCCGCGTCGGGCACGGACGGCGTCGAGGGTTGAAGCGGCACGGGGCTAACGTGGCTGTGAGGGTGCTGCGGGTGCATCGAGTGATGAGGATGCGGCGGATGGGAGGGATGATGATGGTGATGATGAAGGAATTCCGGGGAGGGGAACGGCTGGCCGGGGTAGTGCGGCCCGGGCGGATAGACCGGGACCGGAGGGCTCTGGGATGGGTGCATCTCCGCGCCCATTTCGTAGTGCAGTCGGCAGAGCACCGCGCCGTCCCTCATCCCGAAATGGTCGCCCTTGGTCAGGGGGACCGCGCAGGCCGCGCACGAGAAACAACGGACGTGGAACACGAGGTCCCTGGCTCGCATCACCAGCTCCGAGGCCAGAATTGCAGCTTGACACCGGGCGCAACGTTTCATACTGCCGAACATACTGAAACATATGAAACGAAATGTTAGCGATGAAGTATAAGATCCTACGTACCGTTGGTTAGGCCTTGATCTACTCGGTTCGATCAAATATTATGCAATTGTTGATAATAGACTTGTACACGTTATGAATCCAGGTGTTATTTTTCATTGATGCTCCATATTATCGAAAATAATAGACAGAGAGGGAGTTTTAAACGGAACGTGAACGGTGTTAGGAGTGGTTTGAATGTAGATTAAACGAGACGCTTGGTTAGAGCCTAGGGCTTCAGAGTGATTTACACCTTCAGAAAGGGTGAAGTGGAGTAGATTCGTGCATCATTGAAAAAGTGTGATAGTAAAACCGGGGTAATACGTCAAGCTAAAAGCGACGCGAGCTCGACGAATAAGCAGCGGAGACTCTACTTCCCCGTCGCTAACGCAAAGGCTGGAACATGTTATTTACTTAAACGCTGTTATTATTTCAGTCGGTTAGAAACTAATTCACGGTTATGAGCGGGAAATTTAAATAACCAGTTCCAGGCCGCGGGTAGCGGCGCAGTTTCCAGGAGCCGCTGGAATCGCTATCCCAACAATCTTTACGACGCTACTTTCGTTCGGGGATTGAACACGATGTCTTCAGCGGGTCTTGCGCGCCGCGGCTACCTTGCGAGAATGTTACCATCGTAAACATACCGGCGCGCAAAACGAAAAATCCGACCACGTCGAACCAATTTGCAACATCCTCTCCAAAATCTCGGATTCGAAGGGGGCGGCGTTTG